GTGCGACTTGTGTGTGTTTGTTTGTCGTCGAGATGAAGAGATAAAGAGAGCGAGAGAGAGAGAGAGAGAGAGAGAGCGAGAGGGGGAGAACGTCACTGGAAAACAAAGGGTGAGACTGTGGACTAATAAAACTACACAGAGCACCAATACCTTAAATCAATATACAAACAGAATCTACTCCCTATTTCTTCTTTATTGGATCTGTCTGTGGATATGAGACACAGCATTGTGAGTGTGTGTGTGTCTGTGCGTGTGTGTGTGTGTGTGTGTGTGTCGTTGAGCTTCAGCACTGCAATCCGTCGACCACTAAGGATTTAGTATTGAGTTTTTCTGTTTGTTTAGTTTTTTTGAGACACAGCCGTGATATTGAAGCACAGATCCTTTTCTCTGCTCCGCTGCACGCCGGCCCGTCCTCGCCACAGATACAGCTGATGGTGTAGCCTCGAGTACAGTGAAGCCTTAAGCTAAGACAACTATTTGTACAGCGGTGTTTCCACAAAATTGGTTGTTGATGGGGGGGGGGGGTTGAGCTTCAGCACAATCCCTCCAAAACAACCTCCAGTAGATGTTTTTCCAGATGGATTACTGGATGATGTGTAATAAACCGAGCTTAATACAAAAGGCATGTTTTCGTGAAAACAGAAAGAAAATAAGATACTACACACTGAACTGGGGAAGTGAGTCCAGAATGCATCATTGCTTTCAGTTCAATATCCATATGTTCAGCAGGGTTTTATTCCTGCATAGACAAAATTCTAGCACTTGTTTTCTAGGTACTCGGTGGATGTGACGTTTGTACGCCACTACGGCAATGTAGCGGCGCTGTATCGTTATCCGCGCATCAGGCGGAGCCATCCGAAATTGCCAAAGAAGAAGAAGAATACGAATGCGCTGGATTTCCTGCCTGTGGAAGGAGGCGGCGACCTGATTTTGCGGCTCTTCAAACAGGTGAATAGGGTTGCCACCCGTCCCGTATTTTAAACACATCAAAGGTGGCAACCCTCCAGATGAATATTATCTCTTTTACATCCGAACACACCCAGCTTCTCGAAAAGTTCCCCTAACTGAACGTTACATCCCATCGTGTATGTCGGGCGTACGGCTCAGTACCACCCACCAGCATAACAGACGTATCCCAAACACGGAGTTATCCTTGCTGCTAGTGTTCTCCAGTGGCCAAACACGGTACTGCAACAAAAACAAACTCACCGTCATCTTAAAAAAACCTGCAGGTAAAACTGCGGTTGGCGATCTGGCTAACAGATTATATCTCAATCTTTTTTAGGTAGAGTCACAATCCACAATCTGAATAGCAAGTCTCTCCACAGGTTTAGTTGATCACATGACTTCTGTCACTCCAGCTCAAAAGGCCCAACTCACAAACCTCTGCATCCTGTTTCCGCTCTGATTTTATTCTGAAAGTCCAGACCAGATGTTGTGATTCGTATCTTTCTGTCACTCTCGCTGCGACTCTTCGCCCACAATGCTTCTGTTTTCTCTTTACGAATTGTGTCACAACCGATCTCGCTTCCCATCGCGCCTGTACGACTCATCGTCAGATTGTCCACTCCTACCGTGAAGTCCACTTGGTCGTGAGCATGATGCCGGATGAAGGTAAATCCTGTGAGAACGGACGGCTGCGAGGGGGAAATTCCCATGGTTACAAGAGCGTCCTTAAGTTAGGTCACGTGAGGGTTACAAACAAGTAAAATATATCAGAACAGTCAGAAAAAACCCCCGTCACACCTGAGACACGGATGCTGACGTGAACGATATCAATGAACTGGTGAAACTGGTAATTACAATACCCACCACTGTGACATCAGCAGGACAGGAAGCACAAATGCAGACCAGAAAAAAAAACCTTGCAAGATTCAGGTGAACTACATATCTTGAAGAGATTGGATACCGTACATCCCATAATACATGATTAGCAGTAGCTGTCGGAGCCGTTGACGCAGGTATGAGTGATGCTCCACATGACAGTGATGTGATCCAGCTGCAGTGAGAACCTGTCAGCTGCAGCTCATCATCTGGCCCCATTAAAGTTTACAACCGACGCACCGAACCTGGAAGCATATAAATATGTAGCTCAGCAGCTTGTGACTCCTGCTGAACTTCCTGTAGCTGCTGGTGTTGTGTCAAATTTTTGTTTCCACAACAATTTTGCGCTTCCTCCTGACCTCATCATGAACCACGACTATTCCCCGTTCACGTAAACTCTCACTCGTGCAAACGCAAAACAGATCAGAAATCAGTGTGGATGCTGTCATGATACCTGATTGTTTATAGGAATAACACATTACTCCCACGCTATGCTAGTTCTAGGTTTAACAATTGTTAACTGCAATTTTAAATTTTCTAACACTGGAAAAATATGACGTTGTGAAAATGAATCCGTCACTCGAGTCAAAAACTGAAATTTGTAGAGACTTTTTTCTTTTTTTCCGTCTTACGGTGCAAAGTATTGAACCGTTCTGTGAAATGTGCTGTGTTGTCTTGAGACATAAGCCGAAGCATCTCAAGGGTGTTTTACTGTAAAAAACAATCAAACTGCTCCAAATATAGATTTTAGGCTTATACACACATCAAGGGGGGTCTATTCAACTCCACAGTTATCCCACCTTTTTTTCCCGAGAACTCATCATCATGTCACAGTGTGTGTGTGTGTGTGTGTGTGTGTGTGTGTGTGTGTGTGTGTGTGTGTGTGTGTGTGTAAGGGCTACTCAGTATTAATGCAGGCTAACTTGACACTGGGCAGCCACGAGAGGAAAGGCTCATCCCTGTGGTTTTGTTCGTCTGTTGTGTTCGCGCTCGCTCGCCAACAGTCACATTGACCGAGAAATCAATATGATCCTCGGGTAAAGAAAAGACCAGACTGAAGTCCCGCCATCTCTCCATCCATACATGTGCAGGCTGGGCTGTGTGTGATTGTGACAAGGTGAAGTCATCCTCCCTGGAGGATATGAGGGGTGAATAATGCCCCAGAGAAAGAAGAAAGGAAGGAAGGGAATCAGAAAAATCAATTGCAGTATGTACCATACTGCCCATATAGAAACCTCCCTGGGATTAACTGTGAAAGATGCACATGAAGAAACTCAGTAGCTTAGCAACACCGAAGCTACAAACAACCCACAATGCAACACTTTGTAAGAGCTGGTGTCACACTGGTGCCTTTGTCCATAAAGAAAGAATCTGCCCAATACGATTCAAGTGAAGTAGCACTTTCTGGCACATAGAAAAAAATGCTGACTCATTTACACGCACGTCTCTGCTGCTCGTCCATGTTGACAGTTCTTGTGAAGGTCTTGCTGCAAGAACATCAAAGTGACAGGAAGTCATTCATTTTCCATGTGAGCCGGCGTCTCTTAGAGCAGCGGTGTGGGGGCGTTGGGAAAAAAAAGGAAATCTGCTTCCTGTTTACGCCAGCTCGTGCCTGCGGTACATAAGGCATTCTCAGGTGTGTTAATATGGACGGAGCTAAAACCGTCATCTGGACGGAGGTTGTTCTGGTTTGAAGACACTGTGTGGATGTAGCCTTAAATAAAAAAAAGGTGTCTGACGCTGCAGGTGTTCCAGGTGAGTTGGTGAAGTGTTGTCTATATTTTATGAAAATAAGAGGGAATTTATCGTGCTAACAAACTTGCTAGCTGTCCGTTTCATCCACATCATCTCCGTCAGAGCGCCAGCGAACTTCAACAGCGTTCCTGAACGGGCAGTCGGAGAAACCATCGGTCTGAAAGTTCGTGTCTAAAGGACTTAAAGTGCTTCCATGGAGGATTTTTAAAACCTGTTGGCTCAACTTTCTACCACAGCAACAAAATTAGAGAGGAGACACTGTCTGTGGTCATGCATCACTGCAGTGTGGAAGGTAATCACTGTAATGAACTGAAATCTCAGTGTCTGCGTCACTGACTTTCCTTTGGATTTGCCTGGACACAGCAAAACAAAGCTCATCGTGTCTGAGTACAGCTGCTGTGTTTGAAAACATCTTGAAGAGCAGCTTACGGCCCAATCTCAAACAGAAAGTCATGTTACTTCTGAAATTCAAATCAGAATCTGCAACGATGGATGATTGGACTGAAGATCAGCCAGACCAATGACGAGGTCACAGTCCTCTGAACACGGCGGCCAAATTCAGCCTCTACCTGGTTTTAAAACATGATTGCTTGATCGAAACCGTCCTCATATTCCAGCTTTACAGCCCCAACAAAATCAGCCTCAGAGGCAGGATATCTGCCGTGCAATTTCCGAATCCTGATTTATTTTTAAAGAGCGTGCGCTTGAAGGCAGCCGCAGCGGGCTTTTTAAGCCTGTGAGTAGTACTCTAAAGCGACAGTGAGAGAGGCAGTCACTCTGCTGCGCCCCGAGCAGCAGACAGCGGTGACCAATCTGGGCATTAAAATTATATGTTGTCATATTTAGAAAAGTGTTCTGCACGCATATCTGAGCTGAAACAGTTGAACTTGGGCAGTTACTTACAATGTGTGCGTAGATATGATCTACACATGCGTGTGTAAGGATATATGTGGTATCCTCTTTTACACCAGGTCAAAAAAAAAAGAGAAGGCAGCTTTAGCATTTCCTAAATAATGAATTAGTCAGAAAACGTGACTTCAGAACATCAAGGTGCTTCATCATGTTTTCCTGTGGCATTAATTACCCCCTCATACGTGCTGGATACAGAGCCAGGTAACATCCTGAGCTTTGCTTTAACCAGAAACAGGTGAATATAATTCTTCTTTTTCCCTAAACCCAGTAAAAGAGACTGTTTGCCACAAATTAAATAATAAAAATTTTAAAAAATTAGTTAGATAAGTGATATTACACTGTAAATAAACATGAGGTCACCATCAGGGATCACTGGTCCAAACACCTAATGCTACTTTTGCTGACACTGACATTGTGCTCAACACAACAGTGATACAAAACACCACCTGACAGGTAAGATTTGAACTCCTACAGGCACGTGGCGGATGTCATATCAATCGCCAACTTACTTGAATCTTCCCTGACAGTGCTGGCACTGATCCCCGACCCATCCGTGGTCACACACGCAGGTCCCGTTCATGCACTTCCCTGAAAAACAGTTTTTATCGCAGGACTTGGACACCGCTGAGGCTTCCGTGTGAAGCACGAGATGAAGCATGATAAATATCCCCAGGTATGTTTTCAAGAGGTCCCGTGCGCTCTTCCTGGTCGACTTGGTCCAGGTGCACAGATGCATCCCACCAGCATCATCCATGATGGACGAAGAGTGTCTGTTTGAGAGGCTGCAGCCACGACGGAGAGACCGAAACTGTCACCTTACGCTGTGCGGTGATGTGCTGTCATCAGCAGCGGTGTCTGTAGGCTCAAGCAGCCTACCTGTGACGCCCGAGGAAGAGGCGCAGGAAAACAGTAATTACGCACTGTCAGAGGCGCGCGACGGGAGCAAGACATGTAACTTTGATGGAAACAGTTTACACCTTAAAACCAAGGTGAACGCATTTCCAATCATCCGCTCTGAACAACCGAAACATAAAAAAAAAAAAAAAAATCCAGTTCCGTGCTCTGCGGCGCGTCCACACAAGTCTTCCAGATAACTTCTGCTGTGGTCAGGGTTCCGATGTAAACACACGACCGTGACCGGATGATGCTCCCTCCACGTCAAAGAGCATAATCCCGGAGATCAAATCAAACCACGGAGCTCAGATGATCGCCGTGCGACGCGCTCCTGCTGGACGCGTTCCCAGACAAAGACGTGCCCTCTGCCCGGGTTTGTTATCGGAGGATGCGACAGCCGCATGCAGCTCTCCCCGGAGCGGCGCCTCTGTCTCTCTGTCTCTCTTTCTCTCTCTCTCTCTCTCTCTCTCTCTCTCTCTCCGCTCCGTCTCCGTCTGCTCTCGGGTCCACCGCTGGTTTCTGACTGGGAAACTCCGGCACAAAGCCCCGAGCATGAGCAGTACGGCCGCGCGGTTAAAGGGGCAGCTCCCTTTAAAAGTCAAAGGCACGCGGCAGGCGCGGACACCGTGCACAGACAAAGCCGGTGACATTCACATGCAGCACTGGCAGCATGGTGTCAATATGTTTTCCTAGTGGCGGTTTACACAAGATACAAAATACCATAAATATGAAATAGAATATAAAATATAGATAGATAGATAGATAGATAGATAGATAGATACTGGATCTTTAGTTCTTCAGGGCTGACTAAGTACAACAATAATGTGAAATCCAATTTTGTTACCCAGTCAACAGAAATAATTTGCATGTTTGCACAAATTCTCTCTCTCTCTCTCTCTCTCTCTCTCAGAAAGTTAGGAGACAGGGTGACCACAGGGAATGATAGCTAATAAAACTGCAGCAAAATGGTAATTTCTACTGGAACAATTGCAGCTCTGAGACAGTGTGGAGACGGCATAACTTATCAGTATCCCCTACTAAGTCCATTACAGCAAGGTCGCTTCAGTGTATGGCTCAATTATTATCAATCCATTCAATCTATTATTATCTATTCATCGCCAGCTGGAAGAAGTGAAAGAGATGTGAATGCCTGCAGTGGCTGCCGGTGTCCAGTCTGATCAAGTGCTGTAGAGATCAATAAGTGATCAACTGAACATGGAAAAGGAAGCTTTAAATCGGAAACAAACCTCTTTATTTCTGACCTGAGTCTGTGTTTGCCTGGATGCATTTGAGCTGATTCAGAGACAGATATGACAGGAACATTAAAACCAGACTGACACAGCAGAGGCCTAATTCCCCAAACTGTCTTCCTGATTTATAACTTTATCTCACTCCGAAGGCTTTAAAGACACAGACATATTCTTTGGAGCCAAGCGGTGCTTTTGGAAAACAAAGCCAAGATTTGCATCTGCACTCCCCGAGGGCTCACAAAAACATCCAGCGAGCCAGAAGACGATAATCCTCAAACCGAAAGATAGACTCCTCTTTTAAAGCAAGATATCACTCTGCTGCAGTGTGGTGGAGACAATAACAAGGTTTCAACATGAGCTGTTGATTGCAACAGTTACATATCCTGGTATATCACAAGGGGAGTGTGAATATATACTGTTGCGTCGATGAGCCAACTGAATCCAGTTGCTTAAAAGTCAATTTTATGACTTTGTTGCATTACCCAATATCAGTGCAAAGCCCCAAATGTCCTCCCAGATCACTGTTGTTTTCAAACTCAACACAGCTGTGTTTCACAGTTCACAGTGAAGTTTTGAAACCCTAACAGAGGAGAAAGTTCGGGGATTTTGCTAATGGATATTGCAAATGCTATTGGGTGCTACAACGAAAACAGCCTGTATCAATTAAATTATTTCCAGCTGCAGCAGTTTTCAGAAAACAAGCTCTGAAAAACTCACTGAGAACAACCTGACCAACACCAAACATCAAAGTTAGCAAGGAGCTGGTGAAAGAAAGTGGAAAATCTAGCAGCTAAAGCACGGGACCGTTTTCTCAGTTGCCGGTGGAGACCAAACCAGAGCTAGAAGGAAGGGCGAATATTCAACTTACACTCATCAGGTGGACATAAACAGAAACAAGTGTCATTGTTGTGAGTGAGTGAGTGTGACCGAGTGGCTGAAAACACACGAATGCAGCTTTAAATAAACCAAATCATGTCATATTTTTTTAGACATAAAGCTTTTACAGCTCTCACAGCACATCACCCATGCACATATCTCAAACAATGATTACATGATGCTTTAAAAATGGGTCAATATGAGCCATAAATATGAATTTCCTGTAACATTAGGCCCTGGTTACATTTCTCTTGATCTGAATGAATAGGCGAAGTAAAAACCCACTTCTACTATTTCACACTTGCATTATTGGGAGGAGGTGATACCAGGACTTAACTTGGCCCATTTGACAGTTAACAACATGATCTCACCTCAAGGTTCATTTAGTAGCAGTTCTGGAGCTTTCCGTCATTTCTTATGATCTTCATCAGCAGATGGATTTTGCCCGGCTGTCATTTTCCTGTCTTCTCCTCCACGTTGGCTTAAAACTTTAAGACCTCATCGCTGACCCTGGAAGCAGAAGTAAACAAAACAATCTCATCTCAAGGTGCATTTAACAGCTGGACTGGAGGTTTTGAGCATATTACATGAATTTCAAACAGAAAAAGACCCATCTTTGCCATCCATAATAATCAAATTATCGTAGAATTTGTATTAATCAGTGATGACAGAAATTCCAGAGATCTCAGACAATTTAATACTAAATTTCTTATCAAAAGTTTGACAAGATCTGTACTTTCAATACAAACAATTGCAAACAGGAAGTAAAAACATCCAAGGCAATTTTAAGTTTTGATTATAATAAACATTTAGTGATTTTTAAAACTTTGATTTAGATTTAAAGTGTCTTTTAATTACTTGATGATTAGAAGACTTAGTGTTGTCAATGTACAAATGTATTGATCCCTTGACTTGTTTTTTGTCAGAATCTCTGCCTCATTCAAAAATAATTAAAATAAATATTCTCTTTTTGTTGTTTTTTTGTTGTTGTTGAACTGTCAGTCACAAATTTCTCCAGCAGTGTCAATGTGCTAAGAACTAATTCAACACTAAATCAACAGGGATTACTTTGTTTTGTATTGTGTTATCTCATCATCCCATAGACGGTGGCAATGGAAACATCTGGACATAATTGTATAAAATCTTGAGAGTTTCAAACAGTTAACATAATCTGCAGCCTTGGATAAATGTACATCTTAATGTTGTTTCTGATACTGGTTTTGTATAATCCTGTATATTGGCTGCACTTTCGCTAACGCAGCATCGTTGAGTGGGATTACTTCCTGCATGTGTACATGACGATTAATCATTCAGGCTGCACTGCACAACTGCTCTTTCTTCACAAAGTCAGTGCCCCTTGTGTTATCTATGGATTATCCCCATTTGAGGATTGTCCGTGATGTGTAGCTTCAGGACAGACAGTACAGACTTAATGAATGAACTCTATGTTTCTATTTATGGATTTTTTCAGCAGCTGATCAACTATGAACATTATTTCACTCGCAGTTGAAGTCTATGGATTTTGTGTTGATGTTTTTTTCCTGGGCTTCATGTTTGCAGCTTTACCCTTCATCAGAACACCAGATCTCTTGGCCCAGACCCGTCTCTGTCAGAGTCATAGGAATAACAGCATAAGAAAAGTAAACAGAACAAGCACAAGCCATCACCTATGACAAATGTGGAGGGGGTGGGAAAGAAACAGAGCAGAGGAGAGCTTGACTGTTTATAAACAGTTCTCCACCTGAGCAGAACAAGGACCACCGTCATCATCTACAGTCCAAGATGGCGGAGTTAGAGTCTGCCAGCGGGACCAGAGACCTGCCTACAGGCAAGACAACCCGAGCTGTGGCTAACCGAGGCTAGCTAGTTAGCAGCGACTTAACTTTCTAAATACATATAGCACCTCGGGAATATCAGCGCAGTCCAAACGAATACTCCATATAAACTAAGCAAAAAGTGAGATTGGTAGTAGCCTTTTTATATACGGTCTATGGTAGTGGCACGATTTGTAAACAGCATTGTGGGTCAAAAATTGCCAGTAAAACGGCGTCACAATGGCGGAAAATACGAATTACAGCTTCCGGTCAGGACTTTCACAATAAAATCGGAGCGGAAACAGAATGCAGGTCTAGGATTGCGATTCTACCCAAAAAGATTGCTGTCACTATGATGTTTTTGACAGATCGCCCTCTCCTAGATAAAAGATAAAAAGATAAAAAAGCTCTTCTATACAGTTTCTCTACTGTCTCTGTTACAAGTACAAATTCAGACATTTTTTAAAACCTGAATCTGATTGGACGTGACAATCAGGGGAGGAGCCAGACATAGGAAACCGAACTTCAGGCTATATGCAAGGGAAATTTTCCCCAGGTGGCAGCAGAAGCACAGATACTGTAAACACACTCACCTGTCCAGAAAAAGCTCTTCTATACAGTTTCTCTACTGTCTCTGTTACAAGTACAAATTCAGACATTTTTTAAAACCTGAATCTGATTGGACGTGACAATCAGGGGAGGAGCCAGACATAGGAAACCGAACTTCAGGCTATATGCAAGGGAAATTTTCCCCAGGTGGCAGCAGAAGCACAGATACTGTAAACACACTCACCTGTCCAGCTCAGACCTGCCGTGACTACACTGCGCTCGGGGATGAAAGAGTAAATGGAGCCCCGAAATTAGTTTTTTAAAAACTCCTATACTCTGACACTTTTATAGGAGCACCAACCCGGAGATGAAACTTGACAGATCCGTTTTTACCAGTTTGCATGGCGGCTAGGAGCCCTGTTCCTGGCTGCCTCAGATGATGTCACTTACTCTTTGTGATGTCAGTTAAAAGCAAGCCCCAAACCAGCACCGACCTGTCCTGTGTTGTAATATCACTTTGTGACTGTAGACGCTGTGTGAGTCAGTGGCGCG